TGAGCCGCCGTTAAAACGTATCGGTCATTGATTAACATCCCTCCGCAGTAAAATCTGTTGAAATACGACAGTCGTACCATCCACGGAAACTCATTCATGGCCGTTGCATGGCCCCCGACGATTCTTTTAGCGTCGTTTCTTTCTCCGCAAGCTTAAAAAAAAAACAAACGATAGGTTTCAAGAACAATTGCGAGAGCGGACTCTCTTTTGTTCAATTTTTGTTTTTATTTCGTTACTGTTATTATTGTTACGTACAACAGGAGCATGGCGAAGATGGCGTGTCATGTCTTGGGGGTGGTCGGTTCCCGTAGGTACCAAATCTGGTCCCGAAGAAACTTCTTAAGGTGTTCGCTTCATAGTCTACGCCATCCTGTAAATTTTAAACTCGGTTTCATTTAACGTCGTCCTTACAATACTCGATATCTATTAGTTATGCATGCCGATAGCTTTTGTCGAAGAAAGTAGATCGTGTACTGTTTTTATTTTCTTTCGTAAATGGGGAATATACAGGGCGTTGTGAAAGACACAAAGAACGGTACCAGGCGACTGATTTTTTTTCTTCGTGCGGTAAATATTTTGTGCAAACAGGACGCTCCTTATGGAGGTGCTAATTAAAACTACATAAGTATAAATTTACAGATGTTCTATATAACATTTTCTAGCGGTAAATAAAGCTGTTAGGTAATAAGTATGTACAGTATGCTGTGCATACATGTGTATAACCGAACGTGAAAATATTTGGATTGTTCCGTATGGGAATATTTATGACGTGGACGTTTCATAAAGAAATTACCACCTGTAGATGTTCGTTTTTTTTTATTTTAATATAAATTTACATCCATTTTCGATTAAAATAAAGGCTTATTGTTTTAAAGACATCATAATGCCAGTTTTTGATAAGTCCGAGATCTTCAAAATGTTTGGAAAAAAATATTCTCTACTATTACATATTCTGTTATTACGTTTTTTTTAAAGTTAACATTAGAATGGCCTACTTTTACGGTTGGTCCATGCCTAACATACTTTTTGTGGCCTAAAATTAATTATCGAAATCTAACAGGTTTTGACTTCTTCTCATGGTCTTTCGTGATCTTTTTTTTTATTACATGTACAGTTAAAATGGAAATTAAAACATCTTCTGAGATGCAATAACGGTTTCGATACTACAAATTGTCTACAGATATTAATTTGTTAGAATAACCGTACGTGTTTTCGCCGAGAAAGTTCTGTAAAAGAAAATTAAAAACAAAAGAACGAAATCTAAAGATTTTGTTTCAACAAATGATGTTTTTGTTTTGGGGATAGGTAACAAAAGAGGAAGAAACAATACGCATCTTATGAAAACTGTTTTTTTCTTAAGTATACGTAGAATTATGACCAAAGCATTATCCTTTTTTTTTGATATCAACACTTACTCCTGCGCTCTCTCCGGGGATGACCAGATTTAACAGTAAAAATCCTAGGTAACAAATTATCCACTTCAACCGCATTGTTACTGCGCTTGTATAAACTTTTCGTCAGTCTTTTGTTAACACTTTTCAATTGTTTGTTATTTTTCTTTACGAAATATCACTAGTACGCACAAGTCGGATGGATGGAATGTCTTCTTCTTGTACTACCTGCGGCTTCCAGTCGCTTACTGTCAAGATAATCAAGTTCAAATAGCATCGAAGAGTCAAGTTCAAAGACATACATTATAAAAACGTGTTTTTATGACTGCTGTGTACCATGATGATGGTTTTTGTTATAACATACGAAAGAAGAAAAAATTGGCCCAACAAAAAAAGAAAAACAAAAGACTTGTAATGCTTTTGTCTAAATTAAACAATCATCAGTTGTCGTTCAACTGTTTAATTGCTGAGAAAATAACGAAATTTTTTGAAATACTTTTCGTTTAAGCGATTGGGACACTTATAAGAGCAGATAAGATACTTTCTGATCACACGTGAGGGACCTTATCAAAGCTATTGTAACAGAAAATGGTGAAAAACAAATGGGGAGAGTAGTTGTTGCTATATTGGGGACCCTGTATATAGAATTTTCATCCCAATTGTTTTTGATATTCTGAGAATTCTTGGATATTTACTCTTTATTGGTAGTAATACCGGTTTGGAAACTCATTAATGATATACACATATATATAAAGTCCTGTTCTGGGTCAATGATCATGGCGTGTTTTGTACTCTTGCCTTTTTTACGTATTTATTGGAAAATCAAATGACAAACGTCTAAAAAATTATAAGCAAAGAATCTCAAATTAAGAAGTAAAATAAAGAATGTAATAAAAAAATCAAAATCGAATCAAAAACACCAAAGTTAAAGCATTTTTAAAACAGTCAAATGCTATTTTCCTGATCGACAAACAAAATCGACCGATTTTGACTAATTAACGAAGCTAATTAACTCGACGTCTTTCAGAGCTTCTCATTAGGGTCATTAGTTTGCCGTCTCACATTGAACTTTTCTAATTAACATAACAAGATAATATTTTTCACTTTATTTTCGCGAAATCGCTTAAAATAAGCGCAAACCTTTGTCGATACAGTCTAAAAAGAAACGCAATTCGTAATAAATAAATAATTTATTGTTAAAAATGCCTACAAAAGCGTTCGGCCGGGTCACGAACATAAACAGGATCCGTCCAGGTTTGTTTCAATCCAGTTGAGATATCGGGACACCCTTGTGTAAACTCCGGGATATCCAGGCCTTCCACATCCAACACCCCATGACACTATGCCTGGAATTTAGTCGTACAATGTAAATCCAGAACCGTACTTAAACATTTTTAGTAGCTATATACAGTATTGAATGAAAATGAATGAATGTAAAACAAAAATACTGGTATGCAAGGGAAGAAAAAGTAGGGAAAGAGCGAATGTAAAGGTAGGAGACGAAAAATTAGAAGAAGTGGCCAATTTTAGGTATCTAGGAAGTCAAATAAGTCAGGACGGAAGGAGTAGTAGGGATATAAAGCAAAGGATAGCGCAGGGTCGTGTCGCCTTCAATAAAAAGAAGTCACTTCTATGCTCGCGAACGGTTAATTTATAAATTCGAAAAAGGTTGTTAAAGGTGTGTTTGGAGCACGGCGTTGTACGGGTGCGAAACATGGACAGTGGGAGCGGCGGAAAAAAAAGTTAGAAGCATTCGAAATGTGGTGTTATAGGCGGATGATGAGGATATCGTGGATACAGAAGGTTAGAAATGAAGAAGTATTGGAAAGAATAGGAGAACGGAGGACTCTGTGGAAGTCAATAAGAAATAGACGAGACAGGTTAGTAGGAGACCTTTTTAGGCATGAAGGTCTAGTAAGAGACATTAGAGGCAGAAACAGGAGTTAGGAGGGGTAGAGGTAGACCTAGATTAGATTACTGTTCGCAAATAGTTAAGGATGTGAGTTTAGTTTTAAGGAAATGCGAAGTTTAGCTCAGGATAGGAAAGACTGGAGGTACGTGTCCAACCAGTCTTAGGACTGACAACCTTATGATATTGGTGATATGAATCTTACCAACGATTTCGTATTTATTCCCGTTCGAAACGACCAACGGTCCTCCACTGTCTCCTTGACAAGAGTCCTGGGACCCCTTTCCCGCACACAACATGTAACTCGTGATCCTGGACGCCCTGTACTTCATAGCCCTGCACTGGGCTAACGTGAAGATGGGCACTTGAACCTCTTGCACCACGTTGGGTATCATTCCCCCTTCCATGGTACGACCCCATCCCACCACAGTTCCCATTTTTCCAGCGGGATCCTCGTCTTAATCACATTAATAATCGTAATAATAATAATAGATCGATTAGGCGTCAACGTTTCGTCTTTTCTATTATAATTTCCTCAGTGAATTTGCAACGTTGATGAGCAGAGTATGAGGAAGTTTCAGTATAAAAAGACAAAACGTTGCTGGACTCAACTGAATTTTGATTTCCTTTTGATTTTTAATGGTAAAAACGAATCCAAATAAAGGGAAGGTTTTAAAGGGTAGTAAGTAAAGGGCAGAATCTTACCTGAACTCGTCAAACAAATTGGCCGAATGTTTTCGCTGAACTTGACCTTTTTTCTCAGTTTCAACAACGCAATGTCGTGATTGTAAGAATTAGAATCGAAATTGTAATGTTTTATTATGGAGGCCACGGCCCTCATTTTCGCGGGGGCTTCGTCCGTGGTGGATTGGTCGTGGTCTCCCAGTATGACACGAAGATTTGAACGTTTCACCCTAAAAAAAAAAAAAGAAAAACGATTTTTCACCATCGGCATCGGCCGTACGGAAAATTCGTTTCCACGACCTTCTCACGCAATGGGCAGCTGTTAGAACGAAATCTTCGGTCAATAAGGAACCTCCACAGTGAAAGTGCCCCTCGTAGACCAGCCTTGCTATCCAGGGGTACCTGTTCACCCCCGACGGCATACCGCCAACTATTCTGTTTTCGTGATTCGCTAGACCGCATTCTGGAAAAAATTCTAATTCACGATTAATTCATTCGTTTAAAGTTCAAATTAAGTTTTCTTACCGCATGTGCAATTTCTGACTTTATTGGTGTCGTATTCCTCATCGTCGACGTCGTTTGTGTTTCCCGTTAGAAAATTGACAATCGTTCCCAGTTCGTTGAACAGGAACTTTCCTCTAGGAGCTTTCGACGCGATTCTGGGGTTTATCTTGGGAAAAGATTATAAGGTTATTGGTATTTTCGGCTTGTTTTGCAGTTATATACCATGGGTATGGAAAAGTGTTTATAGAATCGAATGGAAAATAGTACGTACCTGCTCCAGTTCAAAAGTTTCACTTTTTCCGAATGCTAATAGAATCAGTAATGTGACGAAACTGTTGTCTATTATATTGGAAAATATGACCATTTTTCTTCAATAAACTGGCTAATAATACAACCGTTCCGGACAATAAGAATAACTAAACGGCATTCCTGATGCTGTAGTACTAGAAAGATGACGATATTGTATAGTTAATGGATTTGTAATAACGGTTAATACCTCTTGGTGTTTCTTGCACCATATAACTGCTTTCACCATCGACTGAGAACTATTCCCTCTACCTCTTTCACTTGACTTTGAAAGAAAGTAACTCGCAAAAAAAGGAAAGTCACGCAACATCATCCGACACGAGCCATTTTAATTTTTTTTTTGCACTTTTTCAACATGCCCACAAACAAAATCAGAGGGAAACAATTGATCGATCGTCAGTCAAAATTAAAAATTAATACGCAAGGAAAGGGTGGTGTCCGATATCAAAAACAAACTCTCCAAGAAATTAGTACGATCAGATTTGCAGATTATACAGCAGTATTAGCATCTAAGAAGGAGCAGTTAGAGATAGCTTTAAATAAAATGGATCAGTACTGTATGAAAATAAATAAAAGCAAAATAAAAATAGTGGTGTGCAAGGGAAGAAAAAGTAGGGAAAGAGCGAATATAAAGATAGGAGACGAAAAATTTGAAGAAGTGGCTGATTTTAGATACCTAGGAAGTCAGATAAGTCAGGATGGAAGGAGTAGTAGGGATATAAAGCAGAGGATAGCGCAGGGTCGAGTCGCCTTCAATAAAAAGAAGTCACTTCTATGCTCGCGAACGGTTAATTTAGAAATTCGAAAAAGGTTGTTAAAGGTGTATGTTTGGAGCACGGCGTTGTACGGGTGCGAAACATGGACAGTGGGAGCGGCGGAAAAGAAAAGGTTAGAAGCGTTCGAAATGTGGTGTTATAGGCGGATGATGAGGATATCGTGGGTAGAAAAGGTTAGAAATGAAGAGGTATTGGAAAGAATAGGAGAACAGAGGACTCTATGGAAGTCAATAAAAAATAGGCGAGATAGGTTGGTAGGACACCTTCTCAGGCATGAAGGTCTAGTCAGAGACATATTAGAGGCAGAAACAGGAGTTAGGAGGGGTAGAGGTAGACCTAGATTAGATTACTGTTCGCATATAGTTAAAGATATGAAAAAGTTGAGATGAGTGTCCAATCAGTCTTAGGACTGATGATCTTATGATGATGATGAAAGAAAATTTTTACATAATTAACAGTTGAGTAACACTGAGTATTTCAAAGACTTTTAAATTCGAATTGAAGGCCAGTAAAGATTTCTTGTTTAACTTGAAACGACTACATTACCTATCACACCAAGTTAAACAAGAAACTGTCATCTCTTTTATTGGCTTTTAACTTGAAGGTTATCAGGGGATGATTTCCTAACTAAGGTTTAGACAGAAACAATTCATCGTCATCCAACATCGAAAGCGAATACGCGAGGAAAGTTTGGATCAATTATTATTCGATTATAAGGGTTGTTTTTCAATGGAACTTATTTTGGGACATTTAATATACTGTTAGACAATCACACCAAGTTAAATAACAAATCTTCATCCCTTATTTGCGTCTGATTCAAAGGACTAAAGTTTCGTCCTTCTATTTAAAATGCATAAAATTGAGGGTAGAGTCCGTAAAAGGGTTTCTACAAGAACTTAGTCGATTATTCTCTTTTTAGCACTTTATTTAAACATACCACTCACTGTATGAGGGTAGTTGTTACGTCTTTATTTCTACTACAAGTAATTGACAAAGAAAGTAGTTGTGTTCTTAAAACTTTTATTTCAATTTAAACGAATTTCTATACACATAAAATTCTACATAAAACTAAAAAAAAAGAAAAATAAAATAATAGAATCTTTGGCGATACGGACGGTAACTCGGTTCCCAACCTTTTGGCACACTTAACTTGCAATCACATACTTTATTACATAGATACCTAATAATCAATTAAAATAAGAATAAGAAATACAATTTGACTAGAACTTGACAAAAATAAACAATTTGTTTGAACGTAGTAACGATCTTATCTAGCAGAGCAAAGGCATTCGCCTTCGATTGCCTCGTGAATCCAACTCATATAATTCGTTATTTTTGTATAAATTCCGGGCAGATTGGGTCGTGCACACCCCCTGCCCCACGACACGATCCCTAAAAAAAAAGAAATATTGTCCATTAGGGAAACCAATAAACAATTATTGGTAAAAATCTTACCAATTATTTCTGTTGTTCCTTTACTATTTTTCATGTTCAATGGGCCGCCGCTGTCACCCTAAAATATAGATTAATTTACTAACAAATTGTTTTTTATATAGTATCACTCGTGTGTCTGTTTGTCCGTGTGTCACAGTCAATCTACTGGACCGATTAACTTGACATTTAGTAAACATTTCTGTGTCCCAAACACGGAAGCATAACGTAAATAAATAAATTTTGAACATGGGGGTCATTTTTCCAGGGGTCAATAAGAAATTAAAAAAGGGTTATGCAAACTGTACCCTGTGACATAACTAGTGAAAGGGCTTGTTGTTGGCAAATTCAGTAGGTAATTTACAATGGAAAATTGTAATTTTTGCTTTGTCATAAAAATTTAGTTTTCTCCGTGTGTTCTTGTTAAGTCGATTGTCGGATTAGGGTTCCGTACGCCCGAATGTAAAACGGAACCCTAATTAGACAACTCGTGTGTCTATCTGTCCGTTTTTTCTGATCTATATTAGATACCTCGCAAGCATCCTTGCTTCCTTCGGGATATCCAGCGCAAAACATATTGTCTGTAATCCGAAATTCGCCATACCCTGACCCAGAACAGTCTTCCTTGGACCAAATGGGCACCACAACCTTTTGTAAAACGGCCGAAGTTTCTGACTTTTCTTTGAGCCTTCCCCAACCAGCTACCACTGCGTATTTTCCGACATAATCGGAAAATTCTGACGACGTAAACGAATGTTCGAATTAATATTCGCTCTAATCGATTATTATTTAACGATTTTTTATGTTTACCTGAATCTGGAAGACACGCTGGTTGTATTTTGTAGTCGAAATTTACCGGATCATCGAGTTCCAAAATGGCGATGTCGTTGTTATAATTGAAAGCGTTAAAATCGTCGTGTATCACAGATCTTTCGATACCCCTGATAACTGTTGTGCTAAAACGATTCACGTCTTCGCGATCATGGTCCCCGAATACCACAGAAACCTGATTTTTATCGAATCTATTACGAAAACAACAAAAATTTATTCATAAAGAAAATATTTGCGATTGCCGATTACTTACCCTTCTATGCAGTGTGCGGCAGTTACAATATGCCTCCTGGTAATCAAAGTCCCTCCACAAATGAAGTCCCCGTCCAGGAGAAGCCCTACAATCCACGGGAACTCATGTTTTTCGGTGTCATTCCCTCCAACGACCCGCAAATGTCTACTAGCCATTCCACATTCTAAAAAACAATACAAAAACTGTGCCAGAAAACAAAACAGAGTGAAACAAATGACTTACCACAATTGCATTCGTCGTCTGTGTTAATAAAATTCGATGGAAATCTAGATCGTGGCATCTGGAAATTAATTTGGATTTAAAACTTAAATTGTGTAATTAAAAACAATGTAATGGGACGGTTCTTTAGACAATAATTTCATGTTTTGCGTTACAGGCGGTTGTACCTAATAATTTCGCGTATATTATATAAATATAATAAATACGTGTGCGACTTTCACTTTCTTGACGCGCAAAATAACAGTAATTTGCAATTTAAAAGTCGGTACCTTTTTGGCGTTGGGTGCACCAAAAACAGTCGAGCAGATGACGTGTGAGAAAACAACGGCCGCAATGATCGCGATCTTCACTTCACGTACGACCGGCATTTTTCTGTATTTCTTTTTTGTTTTTCTTTTGTTTTAGGTAAGTATACAATTTGTTTGTGATTGCGAGTTGAACTGTGAACTCCAAAATTCTTCAGAACTGTTTTTATACAAAATACGAACAATAATATTTTTTGGTGGGGTCTCTCAATCACCTTGACCATATTTTAATATATTTTAGCAAAACCTATTTTATTTCAATGTCTCGCCGATAATAGTTATGCGAAAAATGCGGGCTTCTATTACATGTAAGTACTCGACTTAAGTAAAGGTCAAGGGTATGTTGAAAAAGAAAATTTCAATTGTTTTATCACAGAACCAGCAACTGCAGCAGCAGCAGTAGTAGCATCAAGGGCTTTACGAAATCATCGCCGTTATTATTATTCTATATAAATGTTTATTGTTGAATTGTTTAACTTGAAATAGGTACCAAATCTACTTAGTCTCCTTAAATAAGGATTTTACGTAATACATTATATTTAATTTATTTATTCAGGATCATTAGGATTTTGATTACGTTACAATGATAATCCCTGTTTGTTAATCCACAAACCGCAAGGTTGGATGCGTTTTAATTTATAAACAAATTAAATAAATAAACAAATAGTAATATAGGTAAGTACAAATGCATTTTCCGTTGAATAGATAAAGCCTATATTTGGTCGTCTGGAAGTGATAAGGAGAATTTTTAGTGAACTAGTTGTTTATAGGTAAAGGTTACATTACCATACTAATTGATTTTCATAAGTGTAGACGTGGATCCTTGAATTGAGGCCTAGTGCAACAGCTAATTAACATTAAATTAACTCAACCGACTGTGTACATTTCGGGAGACAATGCTGTGTTTCATAATTGATAACAGAATGCACCGAATGGCCTAGATTTTACCGAAGATTTCGGCGACTGACTCCCCATGTCGAACGTAATTAACAAAAGAAAAATGCATTTGCATTCGCACAAAACAATAGAACACTTATGCATTTGTTTTGCTTTTGTTTACTCAGGGTAAAGTCGGATAATTCGGTGCGGTTTCTGATGTGAGTTCAATCAAACAAATGAACGATCCAATCAAGATTTTAGTATCCCTTGTTAAGGATATTCTGGTGAGATAATCCAAATTGATTTAACTGACGTAAGTCTAAATACAAAAGAGAAATTGTTTTCATAATTACGATATTAATCCCTTTCATTTTTAATTTTTTTATTTCGGTACTGTTTTATTTATAGGGAGTACGAGGGTGGATTGGTAATTTACAATGGAAAATTGTAATTTTTGCTTTGTCATAAAAACTTAGTTTTCTCCGTGTGTTCTTGTTAAGTCGATTCTCGGATTAGGGTTCCGTACGTCCGAATGAAAACCGGAACCCTAATCAGATAACTCGTGTATCTATCTGTCCATTTTTTCTGGTCTATATTAGATACCTCGCAAGCATCCTTGCTTCCTTCGGGATATCCGGCGCAAAACATATTGTCTGTAATCCGAAATTCGCCATACCCTGACCCAGAACAGTCTTCCTTGGACCAAATGGGCACCACAACCTTTTGTAAAACGGCCGAAGTTTCTGACTTTTCTTTGAGCCTTCCCCAACCAGCTACCACTGCGTATTTTCCGACATAATCGGAAAATTCTGACGACGTAAACGAATGTTCGAATTAATATTCGCTCTAATCGATTATTATTTAACGATTTTCTATCTTTACCTGAATCTGGAAGACACGCCGGTTGTATTTTGTAGTCGAAATTTACCGGATCATCGAGTTCCAAAATGGCGATGTCGTTGTTATAATTGAAAGCGTTAAAATCGTCGTGTATCACAGATCTTTCGATACCCCTGATAACTGTTGTGCTAAAACGATTCACGTCTTCGCGATCATGGTCCCCGAATACCACAGAAACCTGATTTTTATCGAATCTGTTACGAAAACAACAAAAATTTATTCATAAAGAAAATATTTGCGATTACCGATTACTTACCCTTCTATGCAGTGTGCAGCAGTTACAATATGCCTCCTGGTAATCAAAGTCCCTCCACAAATGAAGTCCCCGTCCAGGAGAAGCCCTACAATCCACGGGAACTCATGTTTTTCGGTGTCATTCCCTCCAACGACCCGCAAATGTCTACTAGCCATTCCACATTCTAAAAAACAATACAAAAACTGTGCCAGAAAACAAAACAGAGTGAAACAAATGACTTACCACAATTGCATTCGTCGTCTGTGTTAATAAAATTCGATGGAAATCTAGATCGTGGCATCTGGAAATTAATTTGGATTTAAAACTTAAATTGTGTAATTAAAAACAATGTAATGGGACGGTTCTTTAGACAATAATTTCATGTTTTGCGTTACAGACGGTTGTACCTAATAATTTCGCGTATATTATATAAATATAATACATACGTGTGCGACTTTCACTTTCTTGACGCGCAAAATAACAGTAATTTGCAATTTAAAAGTCGGTACCTTTTTGGCGTTGGGTGCACCAAAAACAGTCGAGCAGATGACGTGTGAGAAAACAACGGCCGCAATGATCGCGATCTTCACTTCACGTACGACCGGCATTTTTCTGTATTTCTTTTTTGTTTTTCTTTTGTTTTAGGTAAGTATACAATTTGTTTGTGATTGCGAGTTGAACTGTGAACTCCAAAATTCTTCAGAACTGTTTTTATACAAAATACGAACAATAATATTTTTTGGTGGGGTCTCTCAATCACCTTGACCATATTTTAATATATTTTAGCAAAACCTATTTTATTTCAATGTCTCGCCGATAATAGTTATGCGAAAAATGCGGGCTTCTATTACATGTAAGTACTCGACTTAAGTAAAGGTCAAGGGTATGTTGAAAAAGAAAATTTCAATTGTTTTATCACAGAACCAGCAACTGCAGCAGCAGCAGTAGTAGCATCAAGGGCTTTACGAAATCATCGCCGTTATTATTATTCTATATAAATGTTTATTGTTGAATTGTTTAACTTGAAATAGGTACCAAATCTACNACGATTTTCCTGCTTTTCCATTTTTACGAAAACCACAGAGGCGTCTTGTTCAGCGTGCTGTCAAACCTACACTAGCAAGGAGATCGGGCTGAAACTATAGCTACAAGCTATCCAAGGATGGTACTATAGAATGTCACCTCAAGGTAGGCCTAGTGGCGTCATCTCTTGGTTAGGCCGGAAACTTATCAATCCACCCTCGTATATTGTGCCCAGTGCCTCGGGAAGCAGAAAAATCTGAATTGGAGAAAACCCCGATGAAAATTTCCGAGAAAACTACCTCGAAAAACGGCAAAAACAATACAGAATCGATAGAACTTTTGAAGACAATTTTAAAAGTGAAGTTTTTTGTATAAATTTCTTAAAACTATTCTACTGGGAGGGGGGTGGGGGGCTTTATTTGTGCCCATGGCTTATTGGATGTGACAAGATACCTAAATTTTATGTTTATTAAAGAAAACATTAGCTTTAGCTTTATCACAATCGGTACAAAGTACAAGAGGACTTAAATAAACAAAACAATACGTATTTTTCTTATTTCTATTGCGTACTTACCTCTTGAAAGTGTCTATTGTATTATAATAACAATTAAATTTGATTTGGATTAAATTTAATCTAAGTTACGAAATTGAGTTCATGAATGTGTTTATCTNCTCGATCTATTGTCCAGTTGATTTTGAAAGGACAAGATAATAAAGGGCAAAAAGCGAATATATAATAGTCGCATTCTTTTGTTTGTTTGTTTTGTTTATGAACTTAGAAAAAAAAAGCAACACGCAAATACAAATTTCATTTGTTTATAGAAAAAAGAAAACATTTTCCATCTTCTGATCAACAGCTTGGGGTAGGATTAGTTGTTTTTATTTAATACATAATAATTAGTATAGGTATAATAATGTAACATATTCATTTGTTTTAATATTCATCGAGGGGCCCACATTCACAGTCCATTTCGTCATATTCTGACCTGTCGTAGATCCAAAAGGTTTCCATGGATAATAACAATTAAATTTGATTTGGATTAAATTTAATCTAAGTTACGAAATTGAGTTCATGAATGTGTTTATCTGGATTTCTTTAAACATATTGAAATTCCATGGTTTAATAAGTAACGTTTTATTATACCTAATTGTTATTTATTTGCCCTTTTGGCAAAATGTAAATTTTATAATTAGCTTCATAAATGCGTAAAAATAACTGCTTTACCATTAGACGATTTGAGAGGTCGGGTCGCTGAAGAATTAGAATAATGTCATCCTGTAATTAAGACCAATTTGTTCTCATTGGAGCAAGAAAAGTAAAAGCGACCAATTACGGTCCTGATAATTTACAATCACGCATACAATCATACGCGTTTAATGGATGGATACATAGATAAAATAAAATATTTGTATGTGTTTGGCTTCCGGGTGTCCGTTGTACCTGATTACCTACTTTTCTTTTATTATTTCTATTCAATATTTTGCTCACATCATTCACTTGTTCTTGTTCCATGTTCAATTCACGTCCATTCTCACTTCTTGTTGTCTGCTTCATTTCGTTTTCACTATTCCATTGGTAGAATTAAAATGAAAATTAATTCGGTAGCCGCAGTGTTCTTGGCGATCGTATTTTGCGCCAGTTTTCAGTTTTACCTGGTGTGCTGTGAGGTAAATTTTTACAATACTAAAACATTCGCCGGCAAATAAGAACAAAATACGGTATATGCGACAGTCTTTTTGTTATGTTTTTGTTTTAGATACAGGAACTAACAAATGGTAATCGTAACAATGTTTATTTTGTTTCTCCCGCGTTCGAGAGCATTCGGGTTCAAACAGGCGATCAAAATAAGTTTTTTCTGCCGAATTCCGGGGGTTCCCCTTCCGGTTTCTTAAGCAATAGGTTTAATATAACAAATCGCCCTTCGGGAACACCCGATAAGAATTTTGTGAATTGGATTTTCGGGGCTTTCGGGGCCAAACCTCAAAATGATGAAGAAAATTGCAGTCCTTGCCGTAAGTATCTACCCAAAAAATAAGATTTATTTTTAACAAACGTAATGATCTAAGTGAAGATGAAGGTACATTATTTTGCTTGATTTGAAAAGATTTATACCATTATTTCAATTTGGCATTTTGTTAGACACAATTGGCAAAAGGAAATGAATTTCACATGCTGACCTTTGCAAGGATTTATATTTTTGCCATTTTTATTCTCGTTATAGTTATGTAAACAAAACTATTTGCAAATCAAAATGCATATGTAAATTGAAAGGAAATTTTAGGCCAACCGGCTTCTTCTATAGAAAAGACATTTATTTAAATACAAATGAGAAGCTTCATTCTTCTTTTATTTTAATCTAAAACAGTGGAGCATCAGCAAAATTGTCGTTCTATTGTTACATAATAGTCTAGAAGTATTATGCAAGTTAACGAACATTTCAGAATGCGGTATTTCGTACAAGATGACAAGGATTGTAGGGGGAGTTGAAACTCAAGTTAATATGTACCCCTGGATAGCAACTTTGACGTACAATTCCAGATTTTACTGCGGTGCAACTGTCATAAACAATAAATATCTCCTGACTGCGGCCCATTGCGTTAACGGGTAAAAAAAAAATTGTGGTGATCCAAAAATCGCAAAAAAAAAATGACGAACGTTTTTTAGTTTCACGAAAGAAAGATTAGGGGCAAGTTTTCTTGTGCACGACAGGGACGTGAACGAAAATCAATCGTTCACAAAGAAAATAAAAAATGTCATCAGGCATCGCTCTTATCACAGTGGTGCCCTTTACAACAACGACATCGCCCTCTTGGAACTCGACAGTCCTTTAGAATTCAACAACGTTTTACGCCCTGTTTGTCTTCCTTCAGCAGGCAGGAGTTACTCGGGACAATCAGGTAAAAAAGTTTCGTGTGATTAACCCGAGTTTTTCAAAAATTTTTTTTTTTTTGAAGGGGTCGTAATAGGATGGGGTGCGACGGTGGAAAACGGACACATAGCGACTAAGTTAAGGGAAGTAGAAGTGCCCATTTTATCGAACGAGGAATGCAAAAAAACTGGCTACGGCAACAGGATAACAGATAACATGCTATGTGCAGGATATCCCGAAGGTATGAAGGATTCCTGTCAGGTACGTCCACCAAATTTTATTATTCGTTTTATTATTTACCACTTGAAATTCGTAGGGTGACAGCGGGGGCCCGTTGCTAGTAAGAAATGGAACTCGTTACGAAATAACGGGTAAGTTTAAGTAGGTTAATGGTATTATAAAAACAAAAACAAAAACAAAAGACAATGGGAATAACCGTTTTTATTTCAGGTGTTGTTTCTTGGGGAGAGGGTTGCGCAAAGCCGAATTATCCAGGAGTTTACACTAGGGTGAACAGGTATTTAACATGGATAACGAGTAACGCAAAGAACGCTTGTTATTGCAATTAAGTTTGTTTTGTTTAACAAAATGATAAAAACAAAAATTGGAAGTCACGCAGCGAAACGTTTAGAACAATTGCCTATAGAAGAAAACAATACGCTAAATTATATTATGTGTCTAAAAGCGTAGGTTTAAGAAACAATTGTTATGCTTTTTTCTTTTTGTTTAATTTATTGCTTTTGTTACTTCCAAGAATAACCAAAATGCGAAAACGAATAAAATTAAAAATCGATCAATTATTGCACATGTGTATAAACTTTTTAGATATTTGTGTACATATTTTGATTACAAGATCAATTATTTTATTATTGGTGGGATTTTTTTGCCAGAAGCCAGAATGTTTCCATCTCTCCTTTTCCCTGCAATAAAACAAAAAATTGCGGTTAAGGGGCGATTACTAATATGCAAATTCTTTTGTTACCTTAACGGTGACTCGCCCTCGACTTTGAATACTATACCCTTGATTGGGTAGCAAATCTTTTGTAAATGACGAAATTTGAATCTTTCCCGACTGCAACAAAAACAAGACAAACTTCCTATTTATCTATTTCTTGAAGTTAATAGGTATTAATTTTGTAATATATTTGAATAATTACCAAGCTAGTTGATTGCATCCTGGACGCAGTATTAACCGTGTCCCCAAAAAAGCAATATCTTGGAACTTTAAGACCAACAATTCCTGCCACAACTGGTCCCGAATGCATCCCTATAAAAACGTTCTTTTGTTTATATCTTTATTTTCAAGAAAGCAGAAAAAACAAATGAGCGCACGTACCAATTCGGACTTCGATTTTATTCTTTTCGTTCAAACTAATCTTTTTGATTTGTTTAATCATGCAAAGGGATAAATCGGCCACGTTGGCGGCATGGTTCTCGTTGGGGTTCGGGGCACCCCCGACCACCATGTACACTTGCCCAACGGTCTCGACTTTATAAACATCAAATTGATCCATTAGGGAATCGAAACATGAAAAGACCGTGTTCATGGTCGACACCACCTCCATGGCCTGCTTAACCGTCGATGAACTTAAGCCAACTAATTCGCAAAAAAGGATTGTTACTGCGTCGAAGGACTAAAAAATTGATTCGAATTTTATTAGATCAGATCCCAACATATCTTCTTGTTGTTGATTGCGGACCTGGCAAGTACTCAAGGGGGAGTTGCCCTCCCTCAATCGGTCGGCCACCGGTTTCGGGATCATCGAGTACAATAGGTCGTCACCTCGCTTTTTCCATTCGTCCAAAAGCTCGTGGTTACGTGTGAGTTCGTTCGATCGTTTTTCTTCCATGTCAAACATCATTTCTAATCTTTCGTAAACAAATGAGGGTCATTTTTATTATCACGAAATTAGCAAAATTAATACAGTCTTGATTCTAATCTAGGTCTTAATCTAGAACATTTGGTCTTTATCTTCGTCTTAATCTAGAACATTTGGTCTTAGTCTAGCAAACGTAGTCTTCATCTTGGTCTTAGTCTGGCACAGTTAGTCTTTACCTTGGTCTTAGCATAGCATACATGGTCTTGTTCTTGGTCTAAGTCTGGTACAGTTGGTCTTTACCTTGGTCTTAGTCTAGCAAATTTGGTCTTGATTTTGTCTATCGTTTCTAGAAATTTTATTGGCTACCTTTTCAGTTACCCCATGCAACCCTACCAGGGTACCTACACCCTTATCATTTTTCTTACTTTGAATTATGCTGCCACCCTGTCATAACCAGCTCCTTACTGAGACCGTGGGGGTTCAAATCGTTCAAAAACAACCCACTATCGACTAACTCTTCGATATCGTTGATTCTAAAAACGCATTTCTTTTGTTCGTCTTCAACTAACCAATCGACGGATTGACTTCTTTTGTTTTTTTTTTTGTTTAGGTACTCACATTGGAGAACAGAGGAATATGACGGCGTGCAAATCTTGCAGATATTTCATTTGTCCTTTTAACAACAAATTCTTAATCACGTTATGTACTACACTTCCTTCTTTTATTATTTGAATTTGACCCTGTTGTTGTTGTTGCTGCTCGTCGAACGATTCCTTGTGGGTTAAACCTGTTGATTCGTCTGGTTTTGTTGCGGACGATTCGGGGTTCGACGATGTGCTCTGTTCTCGTGTTTCAACCCTTAAAAATTCCACTTCGAACATAGCAAACTGAAGATGCAAAATCTAAAGTTAAATACGTTTTCCTTAATTAAAATTAATAAAAATTTTTTTTTGAAGTAATTTACATTTTGCCATGTAAGTGACACCCCGTAAGGTCTTCTAAGTCTGAAATATTTAGTGACAGGTTCTCCTAACGGGGACGTGTTATTCGGCCATATGTTCTGCAATTTAAGTCCAACTCCCCTAATTTTCATTTCCGAATTGAACAGAATACCAAAAGGAAACATCTCCATAAGGTCCGAACAATGAACCTGCGGCAACGGGAACGAGCGAATTTTCATATTACTCGATTGTTTTTTCGCTATCTGCAATCGTTAATTATTTCGTCGAGTGTTTTCAAATTAGATCGTTTTCTTACATATTCGCTGTTGTTGAAATCAAGACGAATCCTGAGAATTGTGTTTTTTTTAGAGCCGTCTTCGACCTTTCCCTCCTTCAGGACATTCGTTTTAATCTTAAGCTGAAATAAATCCTGGGCAACTTGATGTAGCTGCCCTGTAAAGCGTATGTAAGAAAAAGACAATTGAATGGACGGGCAAAACAAGAGAACAACAAGCAACAAATAAAAAAAACAATAAAACAGCGCAGATTCAGCAATAAAATAAAATAAAAAACAAATCCAAAGGCCACCCACGATATTCCTTTGGGGCTTTTAGAAAATTAACTCGCACGTGGAAAAGCAATAAAGATATAGGCTTCAGTGCATTTGATTTTTTGTACTGATTTCTCATTAATCGTATCCTTGTTATTTATCTACCTAATAAGTAACTTTTAAATCCTGTTCTACCACTGCGGTACACCAAAACACATCCCTCTCTGTCAATTTCGGCGACATACATAGAAGGACTTTCCATTTTAGGATAAGTAAATCGAAATTGGCTGTGGATGTTGTCCACATTCTGTAAAAAGTCGGTAAAATACCTGCCCGTTGCCCTGATGGTAATATCGTACCTTAAAAAAATATGAATCGACATAATGCGAACATAAACAAATGAAAATTAAAGAGTTTTGATATGTTTATGTATATATAACAACTGATTCATAAAAAAGCGCTCGTAAAATTATCGGAAAATGTAGGGTGTTTGGTAAGCTTCGAGAGGGTATAATTACGTAAAAATGTACATAGAATCTCATGGTACCAACGGTTTTAGAGTGCGATGCTAAATAGGTACTTTCCGGAGTGATTTGTGTTAAATTAAATGAAATAATTTAAACATAAAAAGGCGCTCGTAAAATTATTGTGAGATAGGGGGCTTTTGCGAATCACCGAGAGGGGATTATTATGTAAAAATATACGTAGAATATAATGGTACCAACGGTTTTAGAGTGCGATGCCAAATAGATACTTTCCCGAGTGATTTGTGTTAAACTATATGAAATAATTTAAACATAAAAAGGCGCTCGTAAAATTATTGTGAGATAGGGGGCTTTTGCGAATCACCGAGAGGGGATTATTATGTAAAAATATACGTAGAATATAATGGTACCAACGGTTTTAGAGTGCGATGCCAAATAGATACTTTCCCGAGTGATTTGTGTTAAACTATATGAAATAATTTAAACATAAAAAGGCGCTCGTAAAATTATTGTGAGATAGGGGGCTTTTGCGAATCACCGAGAGGGGATTATTATGTAAAAATATACGTAGAATATAATGGTACCAACGGTTTTAGAGTGCGATGCCAAATAGATACTTTCCCGAGTGATTTGTGTTAAACTATATGAAATAATTTAAACATAAAAAGGCGCTCGTAAAATTATTGTGAGATAGGGGGCTTTTGCGAATCACCGAGAGGGGATTATTATGTAAAAATATACGTAGAATATAATGGTACCAACGGTTTTAGAGTGCGATGCCAAATAGATACTTTCCCGAGTGATTTGTGTAAAATTATATGAAATAATTTAAACATAAAAAAGCGCTCGTAAAATTATTGTGAGATAGGGGGCTTTTGCGAATCACCGAGAGGGGATTATTATGTAAAAATATACGTAGAATATAATGGTACCAACGGTTTTAGAGTGCGATGCCAAATAGATACTTTCCCGAGTGATTTGTGTAAAATTATATGAAATAATTTAAACATAGAAAAGCGCTCGTAAAATTATTGTGAGATAGGGGGCTTTTGCGAATTACCGAGAGGGGATTACTATGTAAAATTGTACGTAGAATCTAATGGTACCAACGGTTTTCGAGTGCGATGTTAAATTGGTACTCCCCGGCATGGTTAAATATAAAGTTATAAAGAAAATATAGATTGATATTTTTTAGATAGTATTAAATAAGTACATAAATACCTACAATAAAATATTTACCCGAAATTGCTAAAGTATCTAACGAAGCACCTTCCAAAAAACAGCATAAAATCGTCGTACGACGACCCAATGACTTTTGCACAGGCATATCCCAAGGACGACATTATATCATCGGAATAAATTTGATGGGTGTTGAACATTTCGTGTGTACATTTGGCCTCCCTTTTCACCATATTCCACACATCTTCGCCGTACTCCAGCTTCATTTCAAAGAACATCATTTTTTCGTACGCATACATTTGTTTTTTTTCTCACCTGTACAAAATACTGGATGCTTTCTAGCAGCATACCGTACATTGTCGAGAATAGATCAAGCGGACACGTCTTGTTTGATAAAACTTCGGACTAGAAATGATAAGAAGAAGGTCCGGTAAAATTGGTTTCGAGACATTTTCCTTAATAATTTCATTTTCCTTTCGTATACACCTATCGTAAATTAACGGATATTAATTCATTCTTTATCACGTACATCTTGACCCTTCCACTTAATTTTATTGTTGGTATTGTTATTATTATTATTATGGCACACGAAACCCCGACTGGGGATGATGTATTGCACGTACACACAAAAACTACCCCATTCGTTTATTTTATTGCTTTTATTACTTACCTTTTGTACATTTCACATCATGCAACACCGTCCTCCATCTATTGTCCAGTTGATTTTGAAAGGACAAGATAATAAAGGGCAAAAAGCGAATATATAATAGTCGCATTCTTTTGTTTGTTTGTTTTGTTTATGAACTTAGAAAAAAAAAGCAACACGCAAATACAAATTTCATTTGTTTATAGAAAAAAGAAAACATTTTCCATCTTCTGATCAACAGCTTGGGGTAGGATTAGTTGTTTTTATTTAATACATAATAATTAGTATAGGTATAATAATGTAACATATTCATTTGTTTTAATATTCATCGAGGGGCCCACATTCACAGTCCATTTCGTCATATTCTGACCTGTCGTAGATCCAAAAGGTTTCCATGGCGCCTTTGCCCTGAGAACATTTTTTCGTAATGTCATAATCAATCAAAATTTATATATGTGTAAATAATAATACTTGCCTTAATTTGAACGAACCCTCTGTTTTCCGCTAGATAATTTTCCTCGGGTAGCAATTCTTTGGTTGCTGATGAAATATGTATTTTTCCGGGCTGTATCGAAACAAAATTTTACAAATTTTATTCGTTATTTAACTGGTTTAAAAAAAAATTTCGTACCAAACTAGACGACTGCATACGGGAAGCGGTGTTTACAGTGTCCCCAAAGAAGCAATACCTAGGGACCTTTAACCCGACGACTCCGGCAACAACGGGTCCCGAATGGATGCCTTTTGAAAACGAACACAAAAGAATAGAAAAAATAATTTAACAGATTAGTATGTAAGTACAAACCTATTTTAACTTCTAAATGTCCACCTGAATTAATTTGTATGTGTTGAATTTGCTGTATCATGCTCAAGGAGAAGTCGACAACGTTTTGTGCGTGAAAGTCCGTCCTCTCCGGTGCCCCACTTACAGACATATAAATTTGACCTACTGTTTCAACCTTTCAGACAAAAAAGACGCAAATTACATTTTGTTTTTAACGAACGAACATCGAAAATTGAACTTCTTCTGTTTGAATTTCGTTTGTTTTAATCAGTTTTAGACTTTAAACGAAAAACAAATGTTATGATTCGATGTTGTTTCTTTATTTGTACCTTATAAACTCTAAATTTGTCCATTAACTCGTCGAAACAAGTGAATACTGCGTTCATGGAAGACACAACGTCCATTACATCTCGGACTGTGCTTGAATGAAGACCGACAAGTTCGCAAAACATTATCGATACCATATCAAAAGACTGAAAGAAATCAAGAAAGACCACAATTTCTAGATGTAACAATAGATACTTATAAATTTTATTATTTTAATAACAAAGAAAAGGATGAACTGTAGGTAAATTATCTACCTAATGAATTATATCTAACTAATGGTTAATATCTAATAATGGAAGTGCAAAAAAAAAAATGATAAATGTGTTTTACATGAAAGATAAATACTTCACAAGTTCCCATTGCGGATTCCCCAGTTCGTAATCTATCGGCTACAGTTTTAGGGATCATGGAATACAAAAGATCATCTCCGCGTTTCTTCCATGTCTCTAACAACTCGTGATTTCTTTCTAATTCGACTGCTTTTTGTTCTTCTTTGTCAAACATTACTTCCAACCTGCGATTTTATTAATAATTCTATTTTTTTAAGCGCTACGATGAATTTTATCTGCTGTCTACTATTGATTCTTTGGGTAATTTTAAGCGACTTCTTCTTCAGCAATTTATTCATATACGAAGTTAAAGATTTAAATATCTATATAACTAACTAGCCAGTCATAGTTCAATTGTTTTACTGCAATTGTTACAAATCTGTTTATTCATGCAGCAAACAAATGAATGCTCTATTTCATTGTTTTAAATTTCAACTGTTTATAATTAAACATTTACGCATCGTAGAAACAAAAGTCATAAAAGAATGCAATGATAAATTGTCTTTCGGGAATTCTCAATATATGGATTATTTCCGAAGCCATTTAGAGTTTTTGGACTTAGAGAAGGAAAAAAGGTTTTATTTCGATGAGGGAAGTGATATTTCGTTGATAAAAAAGTTACGCAAAAGTTACATACAAACTAATAAAGTTTGAAGGCGTTTTATTGATGTCCGTCTTTTATTAAATTTTGAGGGGATTATTATGTAAAAATATACGTAGAATATAATGGTACCAACGGTTTTAGAGTGCGATGCCAAATAGATACTTTCCCGAGTGATTTGTGTNGGATTATTTCCGAAGCCATTTAGAGTTTTTGGACTTAGAGAAGGAAAAAAGGTTTTATTTCGATGAGGGAAGTGATATTTCGTTGATAAAAAAGTTACGCAAAAGTTACATACAAACTAATAAAGTTTGAAGGCGTTTTATTGATGTCCGTCTTTTATTAAATTTTCTTAGATATATTTTTTCTAAAAATTGTTAACTTACTTTAGATTGTGTTGCCAGCCTGCCAATACCATTTCTTTGCTTAGTCCGTGCTCATTCAAATCGTTCAAATAAAGTCCGAGTTCTGGCAATTCGTCGAGGTCGTTTATTCTACAAGAAATAAAAATTGTTGCAGCATTCTAATCCACCGGCTGTAAACTACCCTTATTACTATCTCCCTTTTTTGCTATTTCGAGCTATAAATTTTTATAAAAAAAAAAGTTGCAAAAAATGTTTACATATATTACGAAAGTTAGTATGATTTATGGGTCTCTTACACGGGGCTGCAGAGAAAAATTATGGCATCAATATCTTCCAAGTAGCGCATTTGCCCTCCCAAGATAATGTTTCTGACGCCTTGACTTTCCCTCCTCGCCTGATAAGGCGAAATAGGTCGAATTTCTTTTTTTTCGTCCTTCCTCTCTACCTCCAGTTGTTGCGAAGAGGGTGAGGTAGAAGGACGTTCTTCAATTGCTTTCGTCTCAATTTTATTCAACAACGAACCGAACATACTACCCCTCATGAACTCCAAAATGAATCGAACATTTTGAAGATAATAAATCTACAAAAGGACGCATAGATTTTTTTGTATCTACAAAACAAGTTTAACTTTTCGTTTAAAAAACAAAAGCGAATGTAATAACAAAATCGATATATTTTCTTAATAGGGAAAACCCCAACAAAAACGTGTAGAATCCTAATACTTTGTAGTACAAGTCAGGACTATAAAGGGGATGTACCTAAAATGTTTATGACGTTATGATAATATCTGAGTAATAATGGAAAATGAGATAAAATGAAACAATTTGCGATTCTTTTGTTCTTTTGATGAGCCATCAGTTGTGTAGCCTTCAATTATTGAAACGTTTAAACAGATGAAACTTATGCTATTTTGTTTTATTTTCATTGTTTTTAATGGTTTATTTGCGTACGTACATTTTTCCAAGAAAATTCAATCTTCTTAGGTCTTCTTAACCGAAAAAATTTGTGTATCGGCTGACCAATTAAATTTTCATTTCTAATCGTGCTTAGTTTCTCACCAGCCCCTTTGACCGTCATTTCACGACTTATTAAAACGGCAAAGGGAAACAATTCAAGCAGTAAATCGCACGAAAATGGTGCCAATTGTCTCGTTTCTAAATGGGCTTGGGACGACTTCGTTTTATGTTCCATCTAAAATGTATTAGGTAGAAGCCGGAAGAAATATTTTGGTAAAAAACCTTTTTTTTGTTTTTGAATTAACATTTCTCTTACGTATTCGCTGTTATCAAAATTTAATCGAAGATGAACCACTAAAACGGGGCGATCTTTTTTGGAAGACAATTCTGTACTCAAAATTATCGGATCTAGTTTTAAATTGTAGTGTTCATCTGCAATTACTTCCAGTAGAGCTAAAAAAAACAAAAAAAAATCACCCTACTAAAATTAAATATTGTTTTCCTTTAAAATATCATAAAGACAAGCCAGTTTTAACGAAGGTTTAGCATATTTTGCGAGTTTTTGGTATGCCGGTAAATTAGTTAAGTCTCTCTTCCTTTAAATCTTTATTGTCTCGCCCTGGGAACTTTCGTACCTTTATTCCGTCGTTTTTCATGAATTATTAACGAGACTGAGCAGTGAAAAATGATTTTCCCCAGCTGTCCCAATTTTATATTCCATTCAACAATTTATCTTAATTTTATTTTAATGGCGTCAACAAAAACGAAGGCGGTTCTCTTTTTTCTTTTTGCATCTTCAGGAAGAATAAACTTGAAACACTTGAAAACCGATTTTTTTGTTTCGTTGAGCAATTTTTTCTTTTTTACGTTGGCGGAATCAATAAAAGACAGACGCGGCTTTTTCTTTTTTTTTTCTTCTCAAGTTTCTAAACAGTTGAAAAGCACTTACATCTAGTTATTGAAAAACAATTTGTACGTACCAATAAAATAATTGGTGTATTCTTTTCTTCTGCTTCTATAAACCATCACGCAGCCGTTTTTATCCACATTGAGAACGTAAATCGACGGGCTTTTCATTTTAGGAAAAGTAAATTGAAATTGCGAGTGAATATTGTCAACATTTTCGAGAAAATCTGTGAAATAGCGACCCGTCGCTTTGATCGTCTTATCATAACTAGAAATAATATTTCGTTTCCTTATTGATGGCTATTAAAATAAGAAACAAAAAAAAAAGTTGGGGGAGTCTCCAATTTACCCGAAATAAGAAAATATATTGTAGAAACATTTTCCAAAAGATCTCATAACGTCATCCCTCGGGAGACCGCTTATTTCGGCGCAAGCATTAGCCAACGAAATCATTACACTATCGCTATACACCTGATGGGTGTTGAAGACAGTATGTTTACAATTTGCTTTTTGAATTATCGTCATCCAGGCGTCTTCACCATGCTCCATCTAATGAAAAATCAATTATTAATTTTTAATTTTTTAGAAAAACTAGTAAGCGACCATTACACTGCAGTAATTCCTCTTTTATTAATTTTTGTTCTAAGAACTTTTCACCACTTTACCCCAGGGGTTACAAATCTAAATTACAGATATTCGGTTATAAAATCTTTTTTATTAAATTCATTTTAGATCAAAAATTATACAATAAAACAAAATTGTTTATCGTTATTATATACAAATTATATTTTGATATTATTATATATTAATAGCGATATAAATAAGTGGTGTCATTTTAATCATTTATAATTTGAACTTAACGTGCACCGTGTAATTCAGATGTAGCCGGACAATTTGACCCATTATATTATTTTAATATGTAATTCTTTTGTTTATTAATAGAACAAGTGACCATCGTAACAAATGATAATACGTATTGTGTACAATTTTGGAGTTTAATTAATTATTGTCTTGCGTAATTAATATTCATATACCGTATCGATTTAAGTATTTCGAGATTGGTATCGATAATATTGATTTCTAATTAATGGCTAAACAAATTCAATGTCTACCTACCAAGACGAAAATGAACACTTACATAAAATAAACTAAAAAATATCTAAAATTTTATAAGCATATAACAAATTATAATTATAAATTTAATTTATATTTTCTAACTAAATATAAATTAGTC